GAAAAGTATTATACCTGGGATAGCAAAAAGACAAAAATGTCTGTGAGACTTCTGCTTTTTGTGGATGGGTATCCCATTTTGACTGATAAGTTGAAGTCTTGGCTGGCTCTAGTATACTACTCATATTTCTGCCTATAGCTCAGTGTGTGTGTGTGTTAAAACCACTGATATGCTATGAATGAGTCCTCTGCTGCTGTGTGTAAGAGTGTGCTCTCTAAATTATCTTGTCTGTGGACTTCTCTCTTTGGCATACCCTCTGTTTTTAAGGGGTTATTTTTTATAAGCAAAAAAGATTTTTGTGTAGAAGAGGAAAAAGCAGGTTTATGTTGAACTGCTTCCATTTAGCCTGTTTTTTCCTTCATCTGGATTTATGCTGTTGGTACCACAAAACATACTTTTCTGTTTGCATTCTGGCTCTTCCTCTGCTTCTTGCCCTCTCACAGTGATCAGGCTGCTGTCTACAAAAACATGCAGGAAAGGAATGGAGGCATTTTTGTATCCCACTGTTTAAAAAATATTACAAAACTGCTTTGTAAAACAATCTCTATTTTGACAAGTACCCCTAAGACTGTTGACGGATTTTATATTTCTTATTGCATCCTAGTTTAGTCCCATAATTATGGGTGAGCAACTGCACACGTCAAGCTGTGTGTCTACAAGTCAATGTAATAAATGCATGGACTGTGGTTAGGCCTCTGATAATTTAATATGAATTCTTTAAAATATGTCATGTGTTCATGTATGTGCTTAGTATCTCCTGAAATATCAGTTCACTTTCTAATTATATGTAAGTTCTGTGAAGAGCTCATATCCCTTGCTGAATAATTTTGACTGTCTTACCAATTTTGTGATCACAAAGAACAAGTTCATTATTTAATGATACACTGAAGCAGTCAAGACTTGACAGTCTGTGTGAGCATGATTGACTTAAAATAACCAAGGCAACCCAGTTTCTAAGTACATTCTCCTATTCTTTTTATGCTCCCTTTTTATGTCACCACTGCTCATAGTCTTTTGTCTTGGTTTTATTTTCTTCTCTCCCTCCAATGAAGTGTGAGAGTTTTAGTATCTCTCCAATCAACAGAAACACAGTGTTCTTAGCCACCTCATTTACTATGTATTAATGTGGTGTTTTTCATGTAATCAAGCATCCTAAAGGCCTTACAAGCCATTTAATTACCTGTCACAAGTCCAATTACTGTATGTAAGCAGGCTGCCTTGTGGAGCCAAGAAAATACTGCATGCAGGCATTGATTTTATTAAGGAGCTTCAGTTCAGTTCATAATAACTGAACAGTATGATTCTTTATGCTATGGTTCCAACCGCATTGAATTTGCACTGTCCAAAAGGGTAAACTCCACAAAGACAAACCCTTATGGAGTGTTTCAGTACTTCTGGGATGTGAAAGGGAAAAAGCAAAGGGGGAAAGTTAAAATGAAATAGATAGTGTTGCAGCCTCTAAAAACACAAACTATGAAATGACATCTGCAGAAAAGATGAGACTGTATTCAGTTATTCAGTACCAAGGTTAGTAACAGTTTTGTTTGCTGTGAGGGTGGCCTTTCACGACAACACGTCCACATCCTACCTCTCCTGTATATCTGTATTACGCCAAAGCCTGAATAGCTGGGCTTGATTTCAGCCAAGTTAGCTAGCCTTCTTGCTCCTTCCAAAACATCCTGCTGCAACTATGATCTCAACTTCTCTGTTGGTCTCAGGCTCATGGTGGCTGCCCTGCTCAGTCTGCACCCTGTGGCTCTTCCTCCAGCATGGCAGCAGCCAGGAGGGCTGAAGCAAACTTTTTGCTATTTGAGCACTCCCTTTGCTCTGCAGCTCATCTTGTGATCTTGACCGATCACAAAAACTCAAGGCCTTCGCCCATCTCCCATTCTAAAATTCAGCCCACTGATTCTGCAATGCTGCTAGCGTTGCAATGGCTTGTGCCTTTGCTTCTGATTCAGGATGAAATGGGCCACCTGCTACTAAAAAAGACCTTTCTATTTCCTGCTATAACCTGGTTACTACATAGAGGTCCTGAGTTTCAATGATAATCCATGCAGCCTTGGTCACTTATAAGATCTGAGACATTTGCCTGTTTATCCCTCCTCTGTTTCGGTGTGTGGTATCATGAAGCCCAGAAAGATCAAACTGGACCCATCTTAGATGCTTGTAAAGTTAGCCTTTTCTACAATGGTTGCCTTAGAGGACCCAGAGCTGTTAGGTGAATTATTCTGTTTCTTCTCTCTAAGCAATGACAGATTACACATGAAAATGTGAATCATTCTTTGCATTCCTTCCAAAAGGCAATTCATTAAGTGTTTAGACTAATACAAAACGTAACTTTAATGCATAGGATCTGAGTATGTCTTTTTGGAAAAATATGACACTATTCAATTATGTACTTGAGCACATTATGTACCTGAGTTTTTTTATATACGCTACAGAAGCATTAAGCCTTTGATTCCCAGCATACTACTACCACTGGTATTTTGGATTTTACAAGAAATTTCTTTAGCCTGCTAGTCTCTGAAAAATTGTGGGTCAGACAGAGCAATTTCCATTAGCACATATTCAGGAAAATAGTCTCAATGGGACCTTTTTAGTAACAAAAAGTCCCTGAAATTTGACATAGTCAGAACACCTTACATACACAGGTGAAATGACGACAACAGTAGCCAGTATGTGTATGGACTAAGGCCATGTCTATGCCATAAAGTCTTGTTAACATGGTGACAATTATCACTGAGGTTTAAGAAACCCCAAAACCCATACCCTTGCTGAACTAGCTGAATCAGCAGAACCTCTGCTGTAGATGCAGCCGTGCTTATATGCCCTTTTGTCATTTCGATGTACACTGCTTAGTAAAGGTGCTGATATTCTGCTATGGTGCTAGTGGTGACATTCTGAAGAATAGCTGAGCCTTTAGAGTTCAAAGCATTTCTTATCTGAAGAGTCAGTAAACCATATCTGCCAAAATTACTTGTTCTTCAAAAATATGTGAGCAACTGGAGCTGACTGTACCTCAGGGACGTGACAAGTTCCAAATTGCTCCCCCTATTGCAAAAGATGCACTTAAAATTTTAGAGAAAGGAATTTTTTTTTTTAATATATTGGGAGTGCTTCATCCAGCAAAATCTTTTAAACAGTTCATGATAAAACAGCTGTCCAAATAACTGCAATAATTTATACCTGATTTATTTTAGGTGTTTCTTTGGTCTTGCCCCAATAACCATCATAAATAAAGAATGTTCTCTTTCATGTAGTCAGATGTTCTAGTAGGCAGCAACTGCAACTATTGAGTTTGCTGCTGTTGCACGATGTGAAAAATCATGCAGAACCACAAAGAATATTTCTTTAACATATTTGGCAGTTCACCATTTTTCACTCTATAGTTCAAACCTCTTGCAATGTTACTGTCACTGACAAGCCACAGATTGAAACACAGATTATCTGATTTGCTCCAGGTAATGTTGCAAGTCAACATCAAGGCTGGGAGCTGAATACAATCCCTCTGGTTTTCAGCCCTCCCTGCTGCACTCTGCTTCTCTCCCAACACCTGCTAATTCAGACTCACATGAATTTTAATCCAGGGAGAATTTTTTTTTCCCTAATTTAGCATCCTCAATATATTTTACATGGTTAATAAAGATTATACACTGGGATTAGAAAATCTAATGATTTGGGGGAGCATTTAATACATGTAATCTTAGTACCCTTGCTTCTTATGGTAATATCAAGAAGCCCTTTCTTCCACTGAAGTGAGCGGCATAGCTGACAAAGAATAATGAAAACATGTCATAGGTTGGCTCTACTGTAATAGTAAATAATGCACATCCTCTTCATTTTTATTTAATTGAGAAAACATATTTTATTCATTACATTTGGAGTTGTGCCTGTCCACCTTCCACATCTGAGCAGCATTTGTTTGAGGGGGAAGACACAAATAGAATCATCAGAATATTCTGAAGACTAGCATTTTTGCTATGCCCAAAACCAAAAAGGGCCATATTGTTGCATGTGCCTGGCTTTCCTACAGAAGGTGGGTTGCCTTTGTTCTTGTGCAAAGCTGCTCAAAATAGAATCAAACACTGTTATGCAATCCTTGTGTGGAAAGTGTACAGAATCAGAAAAAAGTTTATTATCATTTGCATAATAATTGAAAGGAAATGCTAGGATAAAATTTGCATAAGATTAGGATATCCAACTCACAGTAACATCTTAAAAGGCCAGCTTTGAGAGTACTGTATTGGGTTTCAACTCATTCTATCTACCACTTTGCTATTCTAGATTATTTTTGAAGTTACATTTCTGAAGTAGGACTAGTTTCCGGATTACAGTTTCACAGAACAATGAAACATGGGAGTCTATGAACCACTGCCATTTTTGCTTGGTTCAGAAATAAATTAACAAAAATTTGCAGTATTGATCCTACCCAGACCCCTCCTAAACAGACTCCTTCGAACTATTTCCTAACAGACTGGCCTCTGTGTAGGTTTTTTTCTGAAAACGTTTTCCATCATTGGAAAACAACAACATTTAGGTAATGCACATAAAGCAAGCTTTCATCCCCAGATGGTCTTTGTTTTTACGACTGCCCCTACATGTTATGAAACCTGAATTTTCCTTGATAAAAATCCTCACTGTTGATCCTGCAATGCTAAGATACAGATCTATAGCCATCCCCGAAGCAAAGGGCAGATTTCACATTTTTAGGTGGGGTCACGACAAGTTCTCCTCGGCTTTGTGCTGGCTGCGTCTCTGGGGGAGTACTCCTTTCAGATGTCAAGTTATTGCAAAATGCAGCATCTCAGCTTCACAGTTCTTCATTTCTGCCTTCCTCCTGCCCCCTCTGAACGTCGTCTGCTATTTGCAGAACCCCCTATGTATCTTTCTATAAAGGTGTATATTCTGTCTTCAGATCTCTCACCCTAAAATGCTGTTTAACCCTTTACTCTGGGCTAAACCCGCAGGCTGTTCAGTCACCCCCACCACATACATACCTCTGGCTCCAAGCGCGGGGGGGAACCGAGGACTCGGAGCCCAGCTACCCACCAGCACTACAGCTGCCTCCCTCAAAATTAGATCATCTTACGCTGATTAAGAGAGTTCAAGGCTGGCATCGCTTGACAGAGTCAGGTCTGCATAAACAAGCGGAGGGCATTTTTAAGAACCTGTCGGAAAGCCGGGCTGGGGCACAGCCGAACGCACCCCCGGGAGCCACCGAGGGCTGCCGCCGGCGCTGACCGCGGGCTCGGCGGAGGAGGTGCGGGTTCAGCCCCAAAGAGGATCCCTCATCGGCTGTGGGTGGTATTTCGCTCGGGTTTTTCCTCCCCTCCACACCAGCCCCCCAATCCCACCTCCCCCCCCCCCCCCCCCCCCCCCCCCCGCGGCTCTTCGCACTTGGGGGGGTGGGGAAGGGGAGGCTTTCCGTGCGCAGCCCGGCGCAGGTGAGAGGAGGGAAGCTGAGGGGCACGGCCGCGGGGCCCTGACCCAGATAGCGCCCAGGGCACTGCCCCGCTCACCGAATTCCGCCGCCGCCCTGCACCCCTCCTCGCCCCAACCCGAACACATCCCCCCATCGCCACCCCCCCCCCCCCCCCCCCCCCCAAGATGTCCGCTGCCACCGAGCGCACCCACAGCCCCGGCCGCGCCGCGCCGGGCCCGCCCCAGCCAGCCCGGGCTGGAGGGGTCGGGCCGCTCCCCGCTTCCCGCCCCTCCCGCCGCCGCCTGATCTTGAGTTACCTGTTTTGATGACCCGTGTGTAGCCCTTTTTTTTTTTTTTTTTTTTTTTTTTTTTTTTCCTCCCCCTCCTCTCTGCAATGAAAATCCGTGGCCGGTCACTCGCTCCCCCCCTCCCTCGCCTCGCCTCGCCTCGCCGCTGCTCTCCCTCCTCCTCCTCCTCCTTCTCCTCCTCCTCCTCAGCGGGAGCCGGTGTCAGTCAGTCACATCAGCTGCCCGGGCAGGCAGGGAGAGAAATGGCCAGCGGCTTCCGGGAGTGCCAAATAAAGACAAGTCCAGAAAGAGAGAGAGACGGTGGCAGAGATGGAGAAAGAAAGCCAAAAGTGGGTGGAGTGTGAAAATGGAGAGAGAGAGGGAGAGGTGTCTCTCGGCGGCGGAGCCTGCGAGGAAATGGCAGTGGTGGAGCGTGGCGGAGGAGCCGGGGAGAGCGCAGGCACCCAGGGTAGGGCCACCCAGGGCCACAGGCGCGGTGGCCCCGCTTGCCCACCGAGCACCCCACGCCACCCAGGCCTGGCCCGCTCTGGGAAAGGAGAGCTTGGGCTGGTGGGGGAAACGGGGAGACCCCTCTACGCGGCAGGGCAGGCTGAGGGCGGCCTCGCCAACACCGAGGATTGTCTACCCCCGAGCCTGGCTAAACCGCAGCAGCCCGAGCGCGGCCGCAGCTTGGGCCTGCAGCGGGGTTACTGCTCTCAATCGCTACAGCCATGGAACCAGGACTTCTCCCCGTTGGCGAACGCTCGAGCCTAGGCCCGGTTTGTCTGGCTCTGTGGGCTTCACGCTAGTCCGTGCCCCTGCCCAAACAGGGGCATGTGTGTTTTGTGGTCACCACATGGTCCCAAGGGGCATCTGATCATTCACCTGAAATCTGCGGCTCCTCCAAGTATCCAGTGAGCTGGTTTCTGCTCGAGGAGAAGACCATGCATTCGCAGCCCCTAATGGAACAGTTTGTTCTTGAATGGAAAAATAATTCATCAGTTAGTGATAATAAAAAAGACCACATATCTTTTTCAAGTCAACCAATGTGGTTGTGCGAAAATCAATAGCACTTTTCCCTATCAAATAGGTAGCTTGTTTTAGAAGACTTTGTGTTTCATTTCTGGTGATTTGACAACACCACTATAAAATACGGAGCACAAAAATTTGTTTTAATTGTGCAGCAGTTAAATGGGGGCTGAGGAAAGTCATATCTTCACAAGGATGCTGTAGATGACAGCAGCTCACAGACCTCACGTGCCTAAAGACAACATTAAGCAAAGGCAAGCTGACTACAAGGATCAGCCTGGGATTTAAACTCGCTAGTGCAGACAATGTAATTGGCATCAGAAATTGCAAAAAATCAGTGCTGCAGCTTGCTGCAGGCAGTGAAAATAACTACTTCTCCTTGGCGTGTATAAACAGCCAAATGAAATCAAGAGAATGGCACAGGTTTTAAACCAGGGGGGTCTTGCCAGATCCTCCAAAGGGGAAAAAGGTAGGATGGAATTGAAGACCTGATTGCAAAAATGCACAGGACACAGAAACTATTTAAGCGAGAAACAAGTCCAGAAGATCTCTTTCTGGAAAGAAAACCCCAAAGCATTAAGAAACTGTGAAACTACTACATTTAGTTTAAAGCTCAAAGTCCATATTCCATACAACTCAGGAAAAAAAAAATCCCAACACCTGTGCATTGTCAGTGTGATAAATGGAAAGTTTAGGATAATAAATGCAACTGAATTTCTGTAGAATGTAATTTTAATTTGAGAAAAATGTAGTTAACTTAGGATAAGTTTTACAAGCTCTTGCTGTAAGAGCACAGTCAAGCATTCCACATCATTCTATTACATCACAGGCACACGGAAAAGGGGGAAAAAACATTGCTCATTTCCTTTCCATGGCAAGTCTTCTGAGGCTACCAAACTGTCAGATGCCCTACATATCTAAAACGAGTTCCCTATAACACATCTTTGCTCCCTACTTCCAGTGCTTTCTTCACAAAACAAACAAGTTCTTTTTTCTCTTCCCCAGGAGAATGTTGGCAAATTTAAAAGGCTAAGACTAAGGTAAAGGGAACAACAAGAAGTAATAAATTCAGTAAGAAGAGAAAAAAGGGAGATTCACTAATTGTAAAGTGACCTTATAATATAGGGGAAACCCAGTGGCAAGCAAAGATCTAAGATGTAGCACCTGAAAACATTAGAGAAGAGAGTCTTGCAGTTTCTATTTAAATAAAGGTAATCTTAAAAGGCAGTTTTATAAAGAACTTTGTAGTTACTGTGTCAGACTGAGCAACATCCCCCTAAAGAGAAGAAAGGAATGAGAGATGTGCAAGTTTTGGACTTTGTAAAATATTCTATGTGCAAAAATATTGACTAGATGACCTGCTATTGTTTCATCCCCTCAAGGAAAAAGGTTTGGACACCAATAAAAAGCACATTTTGAAAATGCTTGGCATTGTCATCAAATGAAACACTGATCAAGGAATGACTGGAAGATCAGACTTTGTGACTGAGTACTTTGCCCTCAGTCTAACAATGCATTCATGTATTGTCTTAGACTTATATGCAGAACGTATATTAAGGCCAGTAATTGCAACATTAAAAGTTAAAGGTTTTTATTTGTGTACTTCTTTTAGTGGGGACAGGGTCACCAGCTTCAGAATCAAAACATTCAGAAAACCCCTTTCAATTCTGATTTATGCTATAGTCCTCCTGAAATTATGAGGAGCTCTTCTTACACAAGAAGTGCATGAATAAACCTCTTGTGGGAAGTTACTCTGTTAAATAATACACTCATGGAGCATAATGTATGGCATTTAATATAACTTTTTTTTTTTTTCATTTTATTTTTTGACTTTGCTTTTAAAAAAATATTTAATGTTATTTTTATTTATTTTATTTAGTTTTATTTTTATTTATTTGTTATTTTATTTTATTTTTTGATCTGTGCCAAGGCTGGCATGTTTTATTCCCTTTTATAGAAGAATGTATTTCTAAAGTTGTGCAGGCATCCCAAAGTACATGTCAGAGGCTGTGGAAATAGGCTACCAAAATCTCTGTAGAATGACAACATTGTAACCTACGTAGAAGAAAATACTCTGGTGCATCTTGTATTTGCGTGCATGTTTTTTTCACAGAAGAAAAATGTTGAAAATGTTAATGCTTACCTTCCTAATATTTGTTGTAAATGGACTTTCAATGTATATGATAGTAAAATTTCCCTACTGATATAAGTAGCATCTAAATGATTCATAGATGAGTTTGGAGAAAACCACAAACATTGTCACTTATTTCCTTGATTTCATGAAGTCTGTCTTTGCCGGGACAATACAGAAAATAATAACATGAATTCAAATTGCACAAGCACTTACTGATGTGAAAATAAATTGGAATATCATGTGAAAATCTTGGTAGTGTGACTTGCTAGATCTGCTTAAATTCTGTTGAAGTGCATTCAGGACATGTCAAGATGCCTTTTACTTACCAGATCAGCTCCGTTTCATTTTCAGAATTTGAAAAACAGCATATAGCTAATTAACTAAATGGATCTGTGAAGAGCACTTTGTGGGTATCTTGTACAGATCAAGTGTCAAAACACTCAGGAAAAAAAGGGAAGATTCTGCCAAAGAAGTGGACTATTCCTACTCTTTCAGACTAGTGTGAAATAAGGCTGAATCTGTCATCCTTCAATCTGATCACCTGTAAAATAAGATTAAGGCAGATTCAAATTACTTTTAGTTTCACAGATGTCACTCTACTGCTTTTTCATCTCTTCTTTGTATTCTCTTTTATGCAGTAAGATCTGGGGGGTGTGGACTCTCATAACTATACATTAATTAGTTGTATGCTTCTCTTTAGGCATGGCAACATAAAAAGTTAAATAATAAGCACGTGCTTATCATTAAGTATGTGAGTAATGGCATCGTTGTGTAGCAGAGCACTTAGGCATTCCAGTTGTATTTAAGCAGCTTGTCGCATAGGGATGGAATTACTCACTTGTTTATAATTCAGTATATGTTTAAGGGCTTTGCTGAATCCAAGGGGAAAATGTCCTGATCTCACAAGTACTAATCTTTGTGACTACCTGTACTAATGGTGGTTTTGCAGTTTAATTCTGTTCTGTGGAGCTGTTCTTTTGGGAAAGCTACTCAGTGAATATTGTAGGCTTGGGCCTCAGTTCTGCTAAGTATTTACATTGCCCTATCTATTTGTTCCCATGAAATACAGGCCTGTCTAGTATTTTTGCTAAAAATCCTGTTTTATACAGTACTGGGTTTTGATGTGGCTTTCAAGTGAAGTTTCATGTTTTTCATCTAATTACGGACAGAAATTTGCAAGGAACTTTTACTGAGGGTGATTTAACTGAGAGATTAAGGAAAGCAAAATTTTCAGGTGTGTGAGTGTAGTGTTATCATGTCACCTTGAACTACTCTTTTGCTATGTATGAAACCTATGGAAGCATTAGTCAAAAGGAATGATGAAGTCTTACTCATTGGTCAATGTTATTTTTCCTGGTTTAGAATTGTTAGCATTTCTGTTTGAGCTTCTTAGTTCCGTTTTCATCTTTCTTTCCATCTAGGCTGCAGGGGATCCTGTAAGAGGCTGACAGTGTCCTCTAGTTATGCATCAGTACAGCTAAACAAAGTGAGGTACTGCTTCCAGCTTAGCAGTTGAATATACAGTTCTGCTTCAACAGTTTCAGGACAGCTTTACCATGATGCTGTGCCACCGTTCCAGCCCCAGGTGTGAGCTGTGAAGCATCTTAGAAGGATAATTGCAGCTGGTTAAGTGTCTGTGCTCTTGACCTTGTCATTGTCAGTGCTTTGTAATCCAGCTGTGTTTGAGGAAAATGCAAGCATCCCCAAATACTGCTGGAAGTAAAAAACTACTGAGTGTTTCGTGGTCTTCTTCATGCCACAGCTTCTTTGGCTCATTCAGAATGTCCCAGCATCCTCAGGAGCTCCAGTCTCTTTCAGAATGCACAAATGGGTCTGGCATGCAAGTCTGGTGTTCAAATCTGTGATTTCTTGCAGCTGCAGTTCCCTCTTACTAAATGACATTCTGTTCCTTGTTGTCTGCTGCTATGTTACTTTCACCGTCATGTGTATGATGGCATCAATGTCCTCATCAGAGCTTGTCAAGACTTGCTGCGTCTGCATCATCAGTAAAATGCATCCATCCTCTTCATGTACTATTCTGCTAGGGGTTAAAATCCCTTGTCTGGTGTTCAGTAAGAGCCATTTCTGCTTATTGTTGAGGAGGTTCTGCCATGGCATAATTTTTTTCCCAGTAAATCCAGATTGCAAATATTTTTTTTCAGCCCGTAGAGGTAGAAAGCATAGGGCTAGCTCTGAACTTTTTCCTGGGATGACTTCCTAATGATTCCCTGAG